TGGGAGGAGGCTTGAGCCCAGGAGATGGAGGTTACAGTGAGCGAAGGTGGCACCACTGCACTCTAGCCTGGACAATAGAGCCAGACCTTGTCTCAAAAATAAAAATAAAAATAAATTACCTAAGACGGGGTAATTTGTAAAAAAAAAAAAAAAAAAAAAAAAAAAAAAAAAAGGTTTAATTGGCTCATGGTTCTGCAGGCTGTACAGAAAGCATGAAGCTGGAATCTGTTTGGCTTCTGGAGAGGCCTCAGAAAACTTACAATAATGGTGGAAAGCAAAGGTGAAGCAGATACATCGCATGGCAGGAGCAAGAGCAAGAGAGAGTGAAGGGGGAGGTTCTTCACACTTTTCAACAAGAACTCGCTCACTGTCACAAGAACAGCACCATGAAGATGGTGCTAAATCATTCATGAAGGGTCCACCCCCATGATCCAATCACCTCCCACCAGGCTCCACCTCCAACATAGGGGATTACAATTCAACGTGAGATTTTGGTGGAGACACAGATCCAAACCATATCAGGGATACTGTGTAGTATTGGAGGAATCCAGGATCCCAACACCCTGTCCTGACCTGCTCCAGAAGCCCCTCCCCACAAAGCCAAGGGCAAACCAAGCACAGAGAATATGGTCTGACCTTTATACGCTCTCTAATACTGTGGGCTTACAACCCAACATTTGTGTAATCCCCAGGGTGAGACAGCTGGGCTTCACCCAGGAGAGCCCTTCAGCCTATTCGCCAGCAGTACAGGACTGACATCCAAAACAGTTCCATGGCTTTTATCATGCAGTCTCCTCAGCCTTAATCTTAGCCCTCCAGGCTTGCCTCTTTAGTAGTAAGGGAAAGCTGGTCGTGTCAACAAGAAGACCCATGTACCAGAGAGAAGAAGCCATGTGCTTGTCTCTGGGTCTAGGCAGGAGCCCTTCTCCTAGTCTCCACATCTGTCCAGCCCTCTCAGGTCTTGCACCCTGGGCCCTGAGCCATGTCTGCCAGCAGGAGGGAGAGGCTCAAAAGAGAGCAGAAGAGGAGAGGGCTGTACCTTCTCCTGGGCTCTCTTGCCTCTCTGGCCTTGGAAAAGAAAGTATGTTCAAAGAGACCACACTTTTCTTCCCTTAGATCCCTTAATTCTCCAAATCAATATCCTTGTCTGGATTCTTTTTGCTCTTTGGTAGAGCAAGTGGCATGGAGGGAAGACTGCTGAGACATTGCTAGGATGTGAGGCAGGCCTGGTTCACACCTTTGCATCGGCCTGCAGACAAGTGTTTCTCCTCTGTGTGTGCTGACATCAAAAGGCCTCACTAACCTCCTTCCTACCACACAGGGACATTTCTTCTTGAATCAGTGACATGGGAGGTCGCCTGCTATCCTGGATCAATTTCCTGTCTGCCTCAATTTTCATGTCTTTGGAGGCCAAAGAAAAAAAAAAATTGAAAATGCCAGAGAAGGTAGTGAATACATACTTTGCTCTTCCTCTGATGGGAAGGGTTGACCTGCTCTGGTACAGGCTCCCCTTTGGGAGGGATCTCATATTAGCAGCGTGTCTTGGCCACACGGATGCTCAGCCCCGCGAGTGCTGCATGTTACTTGGCTAGTGTTTCTTGACACAGTCTGTCAAGGCTTGGGTCCTTTCAGGTTCTCCTGCCCAGAGCAAACCATATTTATTTTATTTAACAAAGGGTGCTTGATATTAACTCATTGAATGCCCATACAGGTCTTAAAAGATACCTTTTATTTATTTACTTATTTAGAGACGGAGTCTTGTTATATTGCTCAGGCTGATCTCAAACTCCTGGCTTTAAGTGATCCTCCTGCCTCAGCCTCTGGAGTAGCTGGGATTAAACACATGAGCTATGGTGCCTGGCTGAATTATTTTTATTTCTTATGGTAGGGCCCCCAAGGATGTCCACATGATAATCCTTAAAACCTGTGAATAAGTTACTTTATATAGCGACAGGGATATTCTAGATGCGATTGAGTTAAGATCTTGACATAGGAATATTATCCTTGATTATCCAGGTAAATTCAGTGTCATCACAGAAGTTCTTGTAAGAGGGAGGGAAGAGAGTCAGAGTCAGAGAATCAAACGTGATTAAGGAAGCAAAGGTCAGAAGGATATACTCCCCTGAGCCAAAGAATGAGAGCAGCCTCCAGAAGCTGGAAAATAGAAACTAGGAAATTGATTTTCCCCTAGAGCCCCCAGAATAAATGAAGATCTCTCAACACCTTGGTTTTTGCTATGTAAGACTCATTTAGAACTTCTGACCTCTAGAACTGTAAGATAAAATCATGTCATTTTAAGCCACTAAGTTTGCAATAATTTGTTATAGCAGCAATAGAAAATGAATACACCAAGGCACAGAAGGTTAGGTAACATGGCCAAGATCATAGCAAAATGTGATAGAGCCAGGATTTAGATGTAGGTTGAGCTACATGCTTAGCTATTACATTATACTGACCTCTTACCTAGGACCTCTCTCAAGGGTGATGTCCTCTGGATTCACCAAACAACTGCAGAGGGAATGGTGCCCTTTCACTTAGGTGGAATAGAACTTAATTGAACATCATCAGGCGAGACTGAATTAGCCTGGGCTGGGGAAACTGTCTGCCTGGCTCCTGCACTCTGCCCCCTGACAGCATTGCTAACTTGTATCCAACCAGGTAAAACAGTTGTCCCTAAAATCCCACCCATGGACTTGACTGTGAGGATAAACATTGACCTCTTTCCCCTCTATGTTACGGCGCACAAAAGGATGTTTTACAAGGGGGACTCAAAGCAGGGCATAATTGGCATTTATTCAAATTGTACTTAATTGAATACTTCATCTGCACCTCCAGAAAACCACATGGGGTACAGGCTCTGTAAAGAGGAAGTAATTTTCATTAACAGGATCTAAATTAGTCTGACACAAAGACCTACGTGGTGCCTGTGACATGGCTAATAATTACTGTGTAATGAACCCGTTGCCACAGACAAAGGTTTCCTTTTCTTTTCCTAGTTTGTCCTTCCTTCCTTCCTTTTCCTCCCTTCCTCCTTCCTTCCCTCCTTCCTTCATGGATCTGCATGTCAAGTAAGTGTTTTTATTCGGAGAGGCCAGCCTGGTGATGGTGGGACGTCACAGCCCCTGTGTGGTGGAAACAGAGTCCATACTTCCTGCTAACAGCCCAGAGATAGCCAAATAAACTCTAAACTGACATGGACTGGGCCGTGTACCTCCTCCCTCATAAGAATGTGCACACGATGCCTCTTGGGGAACTTTCCAACCCAGCTTTTTCCTCTAACTCCTTCCACTGAGCCCACAAACACAATCTTAAAAAGTACAAAGATAAGTAAATAAATAAGTAAAAGAGCCTCTAGGTCCTAAACCTCCTTTAGTCCTATTATCTTCTTAACTGCAAATAGGAGGTTGTCACCCCCGTCATAAAACACCTGGTGGTACAGAGTTGCTTTCAGGATAAAGGTTCTGGAGTGTTCTCCTGTCCTTCCTCTGGCAGCCGACTGTAGTCAGGCTCATCCAACCAGGCCCCTGATGGGGTCTGAGCTGGAAGGGGTTGTCACACACACACATGCTGCAGCAACCTAAGAATGCGGAATCCCCTTCCAACATATGTTTAGAAGGAAAGGAGAGAGAGAGATGTTCTACTAATATGGTAACGTTTTTCCTTTCTGTTTAAAAGAAGACATTTTTAAATATATTTGTTATCCAGAGTAAAATAGCAATATTTGTTATCCAGAGTGATTAAAATGTAGATAATACTCTTTCTTGGTAGACATCACATTACTATCCAGTTTCAGCATTTTAGCTGCCTGAATTGTACTCAGTAGACTGTCAACTGCCGTCTCAGAGGAGGGGGTAGGGGCACAACCTTTGCTTATACCATCCTGCAAGCTTTGAAGAAACCTTTCAAGAGACAGAGGCTTGTATCAGTGAGAATTGTTTTTTAATTTAATTTAATTATTTATTTTAATTACCAGTTGAGAGCGCTGTCCATTTCTGTGAAAGTGGGTGAATTTTCTTCTTGCTATTTATGTCAGGAGCAGTGTTGTGGGTGGTATCTGAGTTAATGGGTGCCATGTTTCCAATCTATTCTAGTAGCATTTTGGCACCTTTTTGCAGTTTGGGGTCTCTGGAATGAGTCCTCTGTCAGCCCATTCCTTAATCCAGTTTGTGCTTGTGAGTTCTTTTCTCCCTTGACTGTACCAGGGGTTTCAGGTGAGGCTGGTTACAACCCATAAAGCTGTAACTGAGATTCACTGTCCACCTGGTGTCAATACCGCTTTCCTACAGGCAGAGACTTTCAGCGATGACTGGTAAGCGAGGCTTACCACAGAATTGTAACGTGCAGCTGAGTATGCACTTTCTCATCAGATTCCATATAATACCCAATGCTTGATAATGCTGCCCCTTTCTACTGATGCCCTCTAACGTGACCTTAGCCTTCATTCATCGCAGGTTGAAAGTAGGTGAGGGTTAGTATTCAGGAAAGAAGCTGGGATGGAAGAACTCAATCCAGAGTAAGAGCTAGCTATCGAGGACAAGCCAGCACAGAGGAGTTTGAGGGGCCAAGGACCTGCTTGTTCTATCTGCATTTCAGGACTGGGGACCAGAGCAGAAAGACAGCTGGGCCCCAACTTCACCCAGGATTATGCTAGTCTTTCCAGGGTGTCCTGGGGCCCTTGGGAGCCATGCTATAGCCGTAGGCTGATAAATGGGTATTAGTCACCGGGGAAATACATCTGGGTGGCAGGAGCCCATGAGGATGGAAGCAAATGCCTTGGAAGGATAGGCCCGGTGGACAGGAAGGAGTCACGGGAGAAAAGGAAGCTTTGTAGCCCCTGTCTGACCTGTCTGTAGGAAGTACCATTAAGGTCAGGTGTGCTCATTTTCTCAGTTTCTAAATTCTCTTTTCCAGATTGTGACCATCTTGGCAAACATGTCTGTCCTAGAGCAGTGTGCCTCTGACATCATTCAGGAGAATGGTATGTCTTTGCAGCATTGTACATGTTATGTGAATTATCTGGATGTAGGGGACTGGTCTTTGTGCTTGTGTGAATGCCTGTGCGGGTATGTAAATAGGTACATGTAGCTGGGCGCGGGGATCATGCCTGTAATCCCAACACTTTGGGAAGCAGAGGTGGGTGGATCAACTGAGGTAAGGAGTTCGAGACCAGCCTGACCGACATGGTGAAACCCCGTCTCTACTAAAACTACAGAAATTAGCTGGGTGTGGTGGTGGGCGCCTATAATCTTAACTACTCAGGAGGCTGAGGCAGGAGAATCGCTTGAACCTGGGAGGCGGAGGTTGCAGTGGACTGAGATCACGCCATTGCACTCCAGCCTGGGCGACAGAGCGAGACTCTGTCTCAAAAAAGAAAAAAAAAAAATAGGTACATGTGTCTCCACGCTTGCATGAGCATATATGTGTGTGCTTGTATGTGGGCAACTGGGCCTATATATGTGAATATTTGTTTGCTTTTGTGAGGCCTAAATTCTAGTGGAGGACAGATAATGTATAAGAAGATAGCAAATGTCCGGTGATGATAGTGTGACAGTGCCCTGGGAAAAATGAAGCAGGGAAGAAGAGTAAGGTAGTATCAGGGTGGGGTAGTGATGGTTGGTATTTTAATAAGGTGGTGAGGAGAAGGCAAATATTTCATTATGATCACCAAATAAAAAAATCTATTCCTACCAAGGGATACATTCCAACTTTAAATGGTTCCTATCTTGTTGGATTTGGCTGCAGTAGAAAGCTGAGGAAGGGGTGAGTGGTAGAGCAGGTCAGGGCAACCTGAATGTCTTGAGCCCTCACTGACAGCATCTCTTCTCCCACTTGCTCCCTTGTTCCATCTGGTGCTGAACATGTCACCAAGGTCCAGGTGGGGTGGGCCAGGTTTCATTGGCCTGGGAGCTGATCGAAGCCGTTTCTGCCAACGGACAAGGCGGCTGCCTTGCAGCTGGGAGCAGAGATGGTGAGGGCTTCCTGTGACTGGGAAATAAGGGAGCAATTAGCAACCGGTTGGAAACCAGAGACGCTAATGAGGCGGAGTGAGCTGGGAGCCTGGGCCGGCTGCCTCTGCTCTTGCTAAACCCCCTTCTCCCAGGCTTCCCTGCTGTCTTAACAAACATACACTTTCCCATCCCCCATTGCTCTGTTACTAATTGAAGGACATCATTTTGTGTTAATTTTATGTGACTGAGCTAATAATGAGAAACTTTGCTGAGCCAGCTGAGGCCATGAAGCTGAGCTATTGCATCTGTGCCCTGTTCTTTCGGCACTTATAGAGCCTTATGTTGAAGTGTTCAGTGGGAGTGGGTCTCCAAAGGCCTGTGAATTTGAGATTGGAATATCTGGCATCTGTAGAGGGTTTTATGGTTCACAAAGTGCTATTGACTGACTCGCTCATTAAACAGTTATTGAGACCTAATATGTGCCTGGCATTGTGCTAGACAACGAGAACAGAGATAACTAAATCCCTGCCTTTGTCCTAGAGGGTCTCACAGTCTAGACAGAGAGCACAACTTAACAAAAGTGACATATGATAGAAATATAACATCTACAATAGAATAATGCAACAGAGGGAGGTTGTCATGGTGATTGAGGTTGAAAACTGGAACCATACTCTGTGGGTTTGAATCCTGGCACTGTGTTTACTAACCATATGACCTCTCAGTTTTTTCATCAACAAAATACAAATAATCCCTACCTCATAAGGATGTTGTGAGGATTAACATGAAGCATGTTAGAAGATGGTCTGGCACAGAATGAGCACTGTGCTAAGACCCTCTGCTCTTTCAGGAAACAGTGGCAGTCTCACGGGGTTTACCTGAAGAGAGTTTAATGAAGGAGCTATTTTCCAAAGCAGGGCAGGATTTGAGGAATCAACAAAGGTGTCAGTGCAACTGGGGTATACTGGAAGACAGGCCTCTTAGGTCTGGACAGGGCAAATCTTGTTGTACAGGCTGGGCTTTGAGAGTCCATGGTCTAAATCACAGGTTGCAAACTTAGACGTCTACACAATTCAGACAGGTAATGTAAATGGATGAGGTGAATTCACCAGAGACAGGATCAATCTCTTTTAAAGAAGGAACTCATAATAAGCTTTAAAAATTTGTTGTCCAGAAATGAGGGCCTAGGGTTAAAATTCAGGAGGCAGTTTCAGAAGTCAGAAATCTAGATTTTTACAGAAATCCTCCAATTAGCACACTATCAAAAATCTAAAAAATTGTAGACGCTGTGTGGAGCAACAAAACAAAGCAAAACTATATTCTTGGGTAATGTCTGGCTTAAGTTCTAAGCTGCAGAAGCCACTGGGTGCAGAAGAGGGGAGTGTGGGATGGGCAGTTGGGCAACAGCTTACACTGAAGATAAACTTTTACTACAACCTGCAGGATGGAGTTTTTTAGATGGAGCATCAAGAGGGAAAACGGCATCCCTTGTAGAAAGAAAGACTGGGTAAAGGCAAGGAGGTATGAGTGGATATGGGTGTGGTTTCTAGAACAATCAGAAGACGAATCTGATTTCAGGAGGAGGTAGGAGGCTTCTCAGCAGAGATTATTCAGGTCGAAATCTCTCAGTCTAACTACTGCACCCTTTTCCAGCTTGAGTTCACTCTAAAACATTTGATCTAGTCATTATCCAGCTTAGGTTTGGATCACCTCTTACCTGGGGGATTCATCACTACTGGACCTGTCTGAATTGCAGCCAGTATCAGAAGTGAAGAGGTGATGTAGAGAAACCAGTTATCTGAGTTTCTTTCGTTTTTGTTTTCTTAATCCTAAATGTGATGCTACATCTGAATTGTAGTAGCAGCTCCCTCAACTACTAACTATGTGACACTGGGCAAGACACTTCACTTGTCTCTGGGCTTCAAAATGGAATTATAATGGTACCAAATACATGAGGCTACTGGAAGGTTTTAGGGCATTATGCATTTACTATGCATTTAGCACAGTGTTGAGTAAAAGCTCAATAATAGCGCTAAAAAAATAAAGATGTCTTCAGATGTTCCTCCCAAGTATAGTGACTTGGTACATGAAGACACCCTCAGGAGTAGAAGGCATGGAGAAATAGCCTTGTCCAGCTTCTGCCCTGTGGGTGAGACCCCTGAAGTCATCCTGACAGCCTTTGCTTGCACCCTGCAGCCACCTGTCCAGCTGGCCCCATGGGGAAGGCTCCATGCTGGGGGTAGGTACCAACTGTTCCTTGCTTCCTGCCTAGGGGTCCAGCTCATCATGGGCATGCTGTCCGAAAAGCCAAGGTCTGGGACCCCTGCTGAGGTGGCAGCCTGTGAGCGAGTCCAGCAGAAAGCTGCAGTGACCCTGGCTCGTCTCAGCCGAGACCCAGATGTGGCACGGGAGGCTGTGCGGCTCAGCTGTGAGTGGTGCTTGCTGGCTGTGACTGGAGTGGAGTGGGGGGATTGGGGGCGGGAGCAGCTCTGATTTCATGGTGGCAACAGTGGACACAGGGCAAGGACTGGCTGGCATAAGCCCTATCTCTGGGGGCTAGAAAATGCTGGGATGGAGGCTCAGGGGTGCAGTCCCTAGTCTAGTTTGTAACCTGGGGCTGAAGCAAGAGGGAGAAAGGACCTAGAGTGGTAAAAGTTGGCCAGAATAGTGACTCACCTGCAGACTGTTAATAAGAATCCCATTATTTCATTCACTCATTCATTTATTCACTTGCTTAGTTATTCATATACTCGTTTGTTTACTTATCTACACGTTCATTTACTCATTAATTTATCCTTTAGTTCATTTATTCATTAACCCATTCATGACTTCATTATTCACTATTAACTCCTCCATTAATTCACTCATTAACATGCTCATTCATTCAGTTAGTCACTTATTTACCCAACAAATATTTTCAGAGCACCCACCCTACGCTAAGCTCTGTTCTGAGTGCTGGGCATGTGACGCTGGATGTGACATTGTCCTGACCACAGGGGCTCACAGCCTCATGGAGGTGACAAATAAAAAAAGGGATATTCTTACTTCAGTATCATGGGAGTGACACTCAAAGCATGTCCATGGTGCATTTGGCATGCACAAGAAGTAGCCCATGTTTATCTGGGTGAGTCAAAGAATGTTTTAACAAGGCGGCGAGTCCTTTGCTGTGGTTTGAAAAAGTAAGTAAAAGTTACTCCCATGTGAAGACTGAGAAAGGGCTTTTCAGGAAGAAGCGTGAGAAAAGGCATGGCAGTGTCACCAATCCTCCAGGTACCCAGAGGGACAGCCTGGGGCAGCAGAGGGTTCCTGCTCCTTCAAGAACTTACAGAGGATGGACACGCAGACTGTATTTGCATACCTTCTACTGCTATCGTATAATGAGGGTTTTTTTTTTTTTTTTTCTTAAAGTTTGAAAGAAGTCAGTCTGCATTGCAAAGCTAAGTCATTCACTTAACTCTGCTCAGTAAAGCCCTAGGAAATATTAGTAGAGTCTATAGTTTTATGTTATTTTAGCTACAGTATATTTTCTGTCTGAAATTGGCACTTGAGAAAAAAAGACACAGCTAGGAATTTTGTCTGGTAAAGATTCAAATGTTAACCCACATCTGTGGATTTGGCTTGGATGCTTCAGCTTGGCCTGACCCTAACCAGGCTCTGCTCACCACTGAGGGAGTAGAAAGTTTCCACCACAGACTCCTCGAGGTGGGTTCAGCCCCCTTCTCTGGCAGATTGGGTGTGCAAGGGAACTTCTGGGTCAGGCCCGACTGGGCCCCGTCCTGGGCTTGAGGCTCTCCCTGTGTCTCCTACAGGCATGTCCCGTCTCATCGAGCTCTGCAGATCCCCATCAGAAAGGAACAGCAGTGATGCCGTGCTCGTGGCCTGCCTGGTGAGTTCTCAGTCTTCCCCCAGCTTTTCCCCTGGCCTTCAGGATGCAGACAAGGGGGCCAGGAGAACTGGCTGTGCTGTGGCTGGCTTCAGTAAGCCATAAAACCTCTCTGGGCTTTAGCTTTTCTCTTTAGGATTGTGATCGTTATAATATTTGTTTCACTTAATTCATAAAATCGTGATGAAAATTTTATGAGGTAATATGTGTGAAAGATGATGGCTGAGAAACTCCCTCTTCCCTCTGTTCTACCACTACAGTTTTAGGAACAGGAACCTTTGAGGTTCCCGTGGAACGCTAGTTGGTGTTGTCTATGTCATGGTGCCTGCAGAACATGGGAGCTAGGATAAGGATATCCCCTGCCTATTCCAAGGGGAATAAAGGGAGAAAAGCCTCCACTTATCCCTACAGGGAGCCCATCTGGTGGCACTCTTCCAGCATTGTAGCTCCCTCCACCTTTGTGGAACAGAACGAGAAGGAACACAACAAGACAGAGTGGACTATTCAGCAGCAACCTGGATCCTCACCTTGAACACAAGCAAGTGTATCCTAGGAAGTCCCCACCCAACTTCTTTTTGCTAGGGGTCCATCATGAAATAATCAATAGTACCAGACAGAGAATGCACACTTCATCTGTATATTCTTCCCTACTAGGGCTGTAAGGACTCCCAAAGTAGAGTAGCTTCCATTTGAAAACATTTAGGAGCGGGGAAGCCACTCTATAAACAGAACCCTTAAGTTCCAGAAGAAAGTGCTGGCTCTTGTGATCAAAGAACACACGGGGGAAGTGATGGATTTAAAGATCCTTCAAGCTGTCTCACAGTAAAGTCCTCTCCTCAGCCCGTTTTGAGCTGAGCTTGTCTCTTTTCTGGGAGTTTCTGATGGGCGTTTCGCAGTTGTAGAAACAGTAGGGCATTACAGTCAATCAGACCTGTCTTGGTCGTACCATTAATGAGCTGTGTGACATTTGATAAGTCACTCAATGCTATACATTTTATTCAATAAATGTTTACGGAATGATTCTGTGTTCCATTCACTGTTCTAGGCTATGGGGATACAGCTGCAGGTAAAAAAGACAAAAAATCTCTGCCCTTCTGTGGCTTTTATTTTGGTACGTTCAAGGCAATCTTAATCTTCTTGTGCCTTTGGTGGTCTGGTGAAGCTTACAGACCCCTTTTCAGAATAATCTTTTAAATGCAAAAATAAAAATAAAATGTACAGAATTAAAACCAAAACCAATTATATTTAAAATTATTAAACTATTAAAATATGTGATATATTAATATATTTGCTTTTTAGTCAACACATTAAATAAGACCTAGCTGTAAGTCTAGTAAGTATTGTCATCTTGACTCGTGCAGACCATAAATGGTATTTGAAAATATTTTCAACAACTTTCATGGGCTGTGAAAGTATCTAATTTCTACTGGGAAATCACAAGTCACAGGGATTGCGAAGACACCATGGTTTGTTGCTGCATTCACATTGCAATAGAAGGAAATGCTAAGTTTCAGTTACAGGTTGGTGAAAATAAAGATGTAACTTTTTCTCATTCAAATTCACAGATCCTCTTAATTCCGCCTGTGCTAGCAAGTGAAGTGAGAGGAAATTAACATGTAATGATTGACCCCAACTACCACTGCCTGACTCTGAATAGACCCTGAGGAAATGTTGGTAGCATTGAAATCACTTGGGAAACTATAAAGCTCCATTCAAATATGAGGGCTTGTGATTATTACTGCTATCATTTTTATTAGTGTGAAGGAGAGCACACAGAAGAGCTTGGCTACTATCTTTAATCACTTTAAGGACTTTCAAGCCGAAAAGGGATTATATTTGTTCTGTGGATGAGTTGGTGGATGCTGAAGAGAACCCCTCCCTCCCTAATCCATTCTCCGTGTGGCTTCTGAGTTAATTTTCCTAAGGACAGTTTATAATCATGACACTTTCATGAAATCTCCATCGAACCTTTTCATGGTTCCCCATTATTTCTGGGCCACTGTCCGTCTGCTCAGCTCTTCTCAGTCTGGCTCCGACCATCCCTAGGGCCTGCAGACCTCCCACTGTCTCCAGGCCCTGTCCACCTGGGTTAAGCCAGAGCACCCTGAACTGTGTGCCTTGACCCTTGCTCCCAGCAAATGTTTTCTCTATAACTCTGTTTATTAAAATTCTGCCAATCCTTCCAAGCTTAGATGTAAATCTCTCTCCTTCACAAAATTTTCCGGGAGCTCTGTGTGGTGCAAAGCCAGAGAATAAACAGCATGAACCTGAGCCTCCTGTCTTGGATTTTGTTTCACTCAGTCCAAGGCAGGTTCCATTATCTTTGTCCCAGGTGTTGTAAGGGGAGGCTCTTGGAATTCAGACGCAGGCCTGCCTGATTCTAGAGGCCTGCACTTTTCAACCAGACCGTCTTGTTCCAAGCCATGCTCTTTCTCTCCCCATCTCTTATGGCACTGGTCTCCAGCATTGACTCATAGAGGAGGATTTGTATTTTTCCCCCTCTAGCCTGGAACCTTCCCAGGGCAGGGGACTTTTTCCAGCTTTTTGTATATCCATGGGACGTTGAGTTTGGTGACTATGTATTAATTGACTTGGGGACTGATAGACTTGCTTCCCCTTTTCCTAGCTCCCAGTCTTGGGGGTGTCCATAGTTTGTCCCTAGGAATGTTCCAACATTTGAGTGTGGTCTCCTGGCTGGTGAGATTCACTTGGAGTCTAGCCTGGCAGGTGGAGTTAGAAGCCACCATTCCTGTTCTTCCCCAAGACCTTTCCAGCTTCAAAGGCTCCCTTCAGGTGGAGGGAGGAAGGTTCACTTATTGTCTCCCCTGTCTGGGAAGGTGGCAGTGCAGATCATCTCTCCCAAACAGAATGGTTTTTTCCTGAATGAAGCAGCTGTCAGTAGGTTGCCAGGCTTGTTTAATGCTTGGGTGCTTTCAGGCTATCTGGGAATGAGATTCTAGGATGACTAGCTGTTTAACCCTCCCAGAGAAGCAGAGGCCGAGAGAAGGGTTGGCAAGAGTGCAGGGTCCTTTGAGGCTGCTGCACACTGAGGAGGGGTGCTCTGAGCTATGGTAGGGTTCATGTCCTGTAGACTTTCTGGGGACCGTGGGGAGGTAAGGGTGTCTCTTCTCTCTCTGTTGTTCTCTGCTGTGTTTTGGTTTCTGCTTTGCTCTCTTTCTAGGGTTTGCCTTCTCAGCAGTTTCTCTTTCTCCTTTCCCTCACTCCCCTCTTTTTATCACCATAACTCCTTTCTGTCCCTCTCTACTCCTTCCTTTTTCTCTCTGCCTCCTTACCTCACCCTACCTCTCTCCTATTATCTCCCCTCCTCCTAAGGGCTCTCTCTTTTATTTTCTTTGCCACGATTTCTCTTTTTTTCTCCATCTCTTTTTTATACTTGGTCTTTTTTCTCCACCAAGTTCATCTCTGTCTGTTTTAATATTTCCTTCTTGTTCTTTTTTCTCTGTTGTCTCTTTTTCTCTGTTTTTTTTTTTTTTTTTTTTTTTTTTTATTTCCCTTTTTTTTTTTTTTTTTTTTTTTGATAAGTTTTTGTTCTATTTCTCTGTGTCTCCTTGTCTCCCTTCTTTCTTTATTTTTTATCCCTAATGATGCGAAAATGCACTGGTGGCCTTATTTCTTCATCTTCAGAAAATCCCTGATTCTGTTTTCATGGTGAAAACTCAAGGGCAATGGGGTTATCTTTCCCTGTTGGAGCCAAGAAGAATCAGAAAGTGCTATGAAGTTTACCCTCATTAGCCCATGGGGTAAACCATGCCCCATGAGAGTCAAGATGTGCTAGTTGGAGGCAGTTCTGGGGAGTCTACTTCCCATTGCTAGAGTCACAGACCCTGCTCATTAATGCACAGAGACACACGCTCCTTCTCTTTGACCCTGCCTGGACATGACAGCACCTGTGACTCCCAGCAACCAGCTCAAACTATCCTCTCTTTTCACTTTGTTGGCCTGATTTCTCAGCAACAGGCTACCTGCCATGTCCAGGTAATGAGCGGTACCCCAGCCTTATGCTCAATATAACCTTGTATCCTGGGGTTGCAGCATCCTACCTGTGTGTGTAGGTCTGAGTGCCCTGGAGTCGGACTCCTGTGTGATGTCTGGAAGGCCACTTTCCCCCTCTGAGCCCTAGTTTCCTTATTTCCAAAATGGAGATCATGACACTTAGCTTGCAACATCATATAGGGATTAAGTGAGGTGCTATGGGGAGATCCTCAGTGTTTGCATTCCCTCCTTCTTTGCTTCTTTTGCCATTCTAGATATTCCCCCACTCTTTTTGCTTCCAGAGGTGGGAGAAGAGAGGTACCTTGTTCCCTGCTGTGTATATGCCCAGGAAGAGGGAAGAAATTAATGTTTATTAAACACAACATGCATTGCCTCAGTTAACTGGTAAACAGGTCTAGGTAGGTGCACAGCTCACATTTAGTTTCAGGTTGCACTATCAGCAGATCTCAGTATTAAAGCACTTCGTTTATTCATTTCTTTTCAGTCAACATTTATTGAGCCCTGTGCCAACCTCTGTGTTGTCTGCTACAGATACAGAGAAATAGAAAACAAGATCCTTACTCTTGAGGAGCTCAGAGTCTAGTGTGAGAGATAAATACCTAAAAGCTAGTTACAGTCAAGTGTGAGAAACTTGAGGTCCGCCCAGGGGCCCTGGTTGCACAGAGGAGGGAGGGATGGACTGTCTCTGCTTCAGGATAATTGGGGAAGGCTTCATGGGGGAGGTAACAATAGGCAAGAGCAGGAAGTCACTTCAAGTCACAAGTAAGAGTATGAGCAAGGAGGAGGGGGTATAGCTCAGAAGTAGAGCATTGGATTGCAGATTAAGAATATGAGCAAGGACACATGGACATAAAACAGAAATAGCATAGTCATTGCTTATTGTGTGGGGAGCTGGGGAGTGATTTTATTCTGCCAGCACCTCTCTTTCCTATTCATCCCCCTTGCCAGATGTTGAATTTCTCAGTAGCAAAATCCCTATCTACTTTTACAGTATGTTCTCCCTCTCTTTTCTTGTTTTTTCCATAGTGCTTTCCATAGGACCTTGCTGAATTTATGGATGAATGAATAGTTCTTGCTATTCTAAGTTTAGTTTAGGGATCTGGAAACAGTAAAGACCATTACTAAGATTATTAACAGCTTTCAGATGACATCTATCTTAGTGATCAAGGTGTAAATAAAGCCAGGTGAACAAGAGATGTGGTTGCTATGTTGACCAGGGACCAAGACGGTCGCTGGGGTGCCAAGTGGCCAACATGATGATCAGCCCAAATTGTCTGGTAAATGCACCACTTCCTGAAATGCACATTTCAGGGTAGGTGAAGGAAATACACGTACCTGACATGGCCCAGTCTGATATGTGTCACCTCTTCTGTCTTCTCCCCAGGCTGCTCTGCGTAGATTGGCTGGGGTCTGCCCCGAAGGCCTACAGGACTCTGACTTTCAGCAGTTGGTCCAGCCTCGGCTTGTGGATTCCTTCTTACTCTGCAGCAACATGGAGGAGAGTTTTGTGTAGTGGGTGTGGGAGAAGAAAGACATTTGGCTGTTCTCACGCCCCCTCTGAGTACGCACCAGTGAACACACCTGACTACACACAAGCTCTCCTCATTTATTTATACTTAACTTATTTTTGTGTGAAATAAATGGAGGGCGAAATCTTAGAGCAACATCATCAAACAGTCTGTGGTCCTTGGGAATCTTCTTTGTTTTTTATTTTTTGACTTCTGTAGCTTTTCAGTTGCAGATGTTGAAATTCATAATGGCTAATATGACAGATTGTCATGGGTGATTCCACTTCATCTTATTTTTTCTACTCTCACTATATAATCTTGCCTCATTTTTTAAAACTTCGGAACCAGAGTATTTCAACTGCCTAGCAGAGTTTTTTTTTTTAAGCTATATTTGCTCTTCCCAAAAATCTAACATGAATTCCATAATTGGGTAGAATATATTGGAAAAAAGTTTCTTTTTCTTCAATAAATGGAATTATATATATCCCAGATTTTCTTATTAAGTTGTGTTTTAAACTAAGTTCTTGCTTCCCAAGGTTTCATTCCCCCAAACCTTTTCCAACCATTAAAAGAATTGTCTTGTTTTCACAGGTGTATAAATAGGTTAAGCTCTGATTGATTTAGTGAGAAACCAAAGTGACTTTCAAAAATACTTCCAAAGGCACCAGAAACCCTGCTTCCTTTGGCTTCTTTTCTTTTGTGTAACCTCCTGTTCACCTCCTGGTGAATAGAATCTTCAGATGAGGCTTATTGAATGATTCCTCCTCAAAACTATACTTGAGGGCAGTGGTGTGCTGAAGCCAGCTCATGCCCACTCACAAGGGACAACTGTGGGAATTTCTTCCCAACTCTGCACTCAGTGACCTTGTGTTGGTAGCCATGAGCTACCCCATGAGCCCTCATGTTGAAATTGGCCATAGTGGGAGTATTTATACCACAGAAATTCGCAGATGCTATAAAGCACAGTTTTGCTTTTTTTTTTTTTTTTTTTCTAGAGAGCTGGTTTACCAATATCACTGCTTGAAAATATCACAAAAATCTGGGGATCCTTCTGAAAATATTAATGCCATCATATTATGATATAATTTACACGATATAATTGTATAAAATCATGATTATAATAATGTTTCAAGAAACATTTCTTAAATTCCCAATTACTAGTTTAAGTGAGTTAATCTAATGAACCAAGTCATGGGCGAAGCATGTAATGTGCATTATCTAATTTATTCCTCACAATAATCACGTAAGTATTAATTAGTGTATTCATATATGTTATTACCTATAATCAGATTATTAAATTATTTGTCCAAGGTCACTAGCTAGTAAGTGGTGCTAGGATTTGAATCTGGCAATATCTATTACCAAAGCCTTTGTGCTGAAGTCATATGCTGTATAGAAAGGTAATGTCTAGGTCCTCCCACCTAATGTGATGATGATTATTATTATTATGATAGAAAACCCTTGTGCAACATTAACCAGGTGCCATGGATTTGTTTTATATCATTCTCGGTATAGATATTAACATTTATTACTATATACCCATTTTACAGAGAAGAAACAGAGGAAACTCATTTTACAGATGCAGCAACGGAGCTGAAGTAGCAAGAAAATGGCAGACCCTGGATTCAAACCAAGGTCTTCTGAGTCCTTATACAAAGCTTCCATTTTTAGAAATAAGGTATATATATATCACTGAGTTATGCTAAGATATTGGCAACTTTCATTATATGATATCAACAAATAACTTTTGTTAATATCATTATGATCTCATCAGAAAAGTTTTTAAATATTGGGAAGCTATCAAGCTTGGAAGCATAAATTTTGTCATTGGCAACAAACACTGTCAGTTGCTTCCCTTGAAGAGATGGACTCACTTTGTTCATTTTTGAGAAAATGTCTGCCAAACACCTCAGTCTCAATAACCACAATTTGTTTACTATTCTTTCAAGTAAAGGTAGTGTTCCATAGAAAAAGCAACTAGTTGATACGCAGGTCAGACAATCACACAAGTACCTTTCTCTTGAAACTGACATGCATTCTGCTTTGGCATACAGTAGAAATGCCTGAAGTGCAGTTTTCATATCACTCAGAATAGTTAAAATGGCATGTACCAGGGGTCAGAATTTAATACACTTAATAATTTTTACTGCTTCATCAAGGATATTCCTAAGTGGAATTGGCATTTTAAAAATTTAAGTGTGTGGCGGTGAAGAATACAATAACTATAAGTACAGTTTGGTGCCACTGCCTTGATCATATTAAGGTGCAATTTTACTTACCATTGCTTTTGCACCATTAGTGCAAATGTCAATAAGTGGAGAAACGTAAATAACTTCTTAGTATTTTTATAAAAATAGTTTTGACCTCACAGAGCTCCTGAATGTGTCTTAGGAATCCCCAGAGATCAGGGGCCCTACTTTGAGAATCATTGATGTAGTTTAATACTAATTTTATAGTGAGGAAACTGAGGCCTGTGTTGAGGGGAAGCACGTGATTTTTCCCCAAAGCATACAGAATGGAGACTAAATCGTAGCCTTTTGTGTTCAAGGTCAAAGTTCTGCCCATTCCTCAATATCAGGCTAGTTGGTCACTAATATCACAGAACTGGAAGAGATTAGAGGAGAGTAGCTCTTCGGATAATATATAACGTTGAACATTCCTACACTGCAACCTTTATTGTGAAAGTGCATATATATCAGCCAGGGGCCTAGTAGGAAACAGAGTTTAACTCGGGTGGTTCAAATAATAAAGTTTTAGTAAAGAGACTACTTGGAGACTTGAATGCAGAGTTAAGGGAGCTATTGAGGGATGCTGAGTCGCCCAGAGACTAACCACCAAGGTAAGCCCTTACCATGCTAAGGGCAGAAGGGTCAAGTGAGATAATAGTGTTACCAAAGTCCACTGAGAGCTGCAGTTGTGGCAGACGGGCTTATCTGGTGGGAGCCATAGGGACTCAGCTGCTGTGAGGGACATGGAGTCTGGGCAGGGAGGAAGCAGGACAGAAATACCCAGACCATCTCTTCTCACCTTCTGACCTCCTTCCAGTGCTTCCCATTGGCTAGTACTCTGGTGAGAGTCAGTTATGAAATCCTCTGGAACCAGCCACTTGAGAAGACAGCAGGTTAGAGAAGAGTAGAGATTGGATCTGGGTAAGGTTAGGATGGGGCCAAACTGAGAATAATAGCACAGGTAGAAAAGTCTACATCCTTCCTTATTCCTCTGAAAAGCAACCAGTATTACTTTGGGCCTAAAGCAAACCATCAAGTAACAGGATTTATGAGACTTGTTTTAGAGAAGGGGAAAGTAAGGGGGTTATAAGTAGAGGTAAATAATATCCCTCCTTGGAGCCTTGTTTCAGAAAGAACCAGGTAGGGTGGAGTAGGAGATGGCAGCGCCTGGAGAAAGGGAAGTAGATTGTGTCCCAGGCCTCAGAGTAAGGAAGATAGAGATATTCAGGGAACTACCTGTCCCAGGCCTTAGAGGAAGGAAGACAGAGTTATTCAGAAGTTGGTGCAGAGCTGAATCAACTGCAGCAGACTGTTAAAATCACAGAAAGTCTATAAAGAGAGGAGTCAGCATAGTTGATGGTTCCTAGACATGGGACCAAAAGCTGTGGCCAGAAGTGTGCTCCAGGGAAAGGTAGAAGAGTCTCCACCTTCCACACCAGCCCTTGACTCTGCCCCATGGTTTTCCCATAGTAACTTTCACTCTGCTGACTCTCTACCTACACTCTGTACAAGACAACTACTATACTGGGCAGGACATTGACCAGCTATGTGGCCTTAGGCCTTCATGATTGAGGCCATGGGCATAAAGTCCTCACTAGTCAGATGCAGCCACAAGTTAGCTCAGGTCACACAGATCAGGCTGGAATGGGGGTGGCTGACTGATTAAAAGTCAGGATTTTCTTGGCCTAAAGCACACATATTGCCTGCAATCTTCCTTTATCTCTAGGCCCTAGGATGGGATTAAGGCTGGAACTGGGTTTTCAGGAAGCCCACAGGTTGAGTAGAGTCTACAACTATATACTGTGTCTAGATGGGGAAATCTGGACACCCAGATTCTTTAGGATACGTGGGCAGCATGCTATGGAGAAAGAGTCACCACCAGTTGGAATCCGGAGGATTCCTCCATGAGTTAAAAATCCTAGCTCTACCACTTTATTGTTGTTGACTTTGGACAGGGCTTTGTACCTCTATGAGTTTCTGTTCTCTCATCTGTAAAGTAGGGATAATACTCCTGCCTGATCTCCCTCTTAGGGTTAGGATTAAGATTAGGGAAGATCATTTGTATGGAAATTCTTAGTAAACTATAAAGTTCTGTGCAAATGTAAGTTGTTGTCGTCATCATTACTGTCATCATTTTGGAAAGGACTCTATAGACGACCCAGTACTTCACTTTTGTTATGCTGGGCCCCCTTGACAGTATCCCTTCTAACAGAATTCTTCATTATTGCTCTCACATCTCCACTGAATGTCTTTACTTTCTCTATTATTTGACAGTCCTCAGGATCATGAAGTTTCACCCTATATGAAGCCATAATCTGAAAATTCATCTGTTTGTCCTAGCGTTGGTGTCTATCTCTTGGCATGTTATCTGTTTAACAAAAGAAATTACTCCCAAATTTAGTGGCTTAAAACGATGACAACTACAACAACAGCAACAACAGTAACAACAATAACAAATTTATTCTTATATTTCCTGTGGGTCAGATTTTCAGAAATAGCTTAGCTGGGTGGATATGGCTCAGGATTTCTCATAAGTTTCTAATGAAGATGTTGAAAGCATTCACAGAATGGCAGAGCAAGGGCTCCCAAAGTCTGCTTCTCCATAAAAGCAATGAGAACACTGTTTAAGATTGTAAAAATCAATTTTTTTCAGAACTTTGAAAATTAATTAAAGGCTTGCAATAATCCAAGGAGTTCCAAAGAAAAAGGCCTGAATCTCTGTAAGAACAGTGAGCTTTGTAGTGTTTAACCTGTCTCATTCTCATACCTCTCTCCCTAGCTCCAGGGTATTCTTAAAGACCAGCAGCCTCAAAACTACAATAGCTGTAAAAACCAGCAGCATAGCACACCAACATGGCACATGTATACATATGTAACAAACCCGCACGTTGTGCACATGTACCCCAGAATTTAAAGTGTAATAATAATAACAATAATAATAATAATAATAATAATAAAAAGAAAAGCAGCAGCATAGCAGCTCCTGGAAGAAGCAAAATGAGTTTGGAGTTTCTGTAAAAACTCCAACTAGACATCCATATGCAAAAGAAATCCAACTGGAAAGCTACATTATGCCAAACACAAAAATTAACAGAAAATGCATCATAGACCTAAGTATAAGAGCTAACACTATACAACTCTTTGAAGTAAACATAGGTGTCAATCTTTATAATCTTGGATTAGACAATGGTTTCTTGGCTATGATATCTAAAGCAAAAGTGACAAAAGAACAAATAGGTAAATTATATTTCACTAAAATTAAGAACTTTTGTGCTTCAAAGATCACCACTAAGAAAGTGAAAAGGCAACTCATGGAATAGGCAAAAATATCTTCAAGTCATGTATCTGATAAGGGGTTGATATCAGATACAATAAATTATTATAATTCAACAATAAAAACACAACCCAATTAATAGCTGGACAAAGGATTTGAATAGATATCTCTCCAAAGGAGACATACAAATGGTCAAAACGTATGTAAAAGATGCTCATATCATGATTCATTAGGGAATGCAAGCCAAAATTGCAATGGGATACCACTTCATACTGGCTAGGATTGCTAAAATGAAGAAAATACAATAACAAGTATTGGTAAGGATATAGAGAAATTATAATCTTCATACATTGCTGGTGGGATGGTAAAATAATACAGCCACTTGGAAAACATTCTGTTAGTTCCTCAAAATATTGAACATAAAGTTACCATATGGCCCAGCAATTCCACTCATGGTATATGTTCAAAAGAAATGAAAATATTCACACAAAAACTTGTACACTAAGGTTCGTAATAGCATCACTCATAGTTGCCCCAAAGTAGAAACAACTGAAATGTCCATTAGCTGATAACTAGTCTTTAAAAATGTGATAAACTATACAATGGAATATTATTTGGCAATAAAAAAATGAGGCATTGATGTAGGCTAAAA